CAGCTCGGGCCCGCCTGCGCGGAACCGCGGGAGGATGCGCAGCGCGGCGAGCGTCGAGCTTGCGGCCGCCTTTGACACGTCCCGCTGCCACGCGTGGCCTCTCGTCGTAGGCTGCAGGCTCCGGAGCGCGGTGCCTGCGGGAAGGCTGGGCAGCCGGCACTGAAAAAGCTGTACAGGCGTTCGTCCCCGGGCTGGGAAGAGGGTCCTGCTTAGCCTCCGTCTTTCACGGAGGATGCGGAAGGCACGGCCATGGAAAAGAAACCGCATTTCGTTAGGAGGGAGTTTCTTCCCAGAGAGGTGCCATCCGTCTCGCTGGCGTTGCTGCTTGCGGCCGTCCTGCTCCTTAATGCCCTTCTCTACCTGTACCTCAACAAGTTTTCCAGCTCTCTGGGACGAGTCGAAACGGACTCTGGCCTCTGCCCTTTTGGGCATTTCAAATTTGGAGCGGTGAAGAACTGTTCCCCGTGGCTTTCCTGCGAGGCCATAAATAGGGAAGTCAGGAAACTCAAGTGTGTTGGTGAAGGTGCTGTGAAAAAGGTGAGTTTGGATTTTCTTTCTTCTCTCCTCTGGATAAAGAGCTTTCACAGTTTGCTGGCTCATTAATGCCAGCACTGCTGTTATGTTTCCCCTCTCAGCAGCTCAGCACTGTAGGCATCCGGGACCAAATGGCTACTGATAAGGCGAACACAACAGGTACGAGAGCATAACCTGGGCCAGCTCTCTGACACCAAACGACATCCAGCTACACAAGCAAAATCACAGAGTGGTACAATCATGGCAGAGTAAGACTGGCTATTTGCATGATAGAAAATAACTTATAATGTCCATTCCAAAGAAAACTTAGGAAATCGTGATATAACTGTGGCACCAGAAAGGGCTTGCTGTGACAGGTACACCACTCTACCTAAAGCTGACTGTGCCTGGTGACTGTAATTTGCAGTTGTGACTAACCAGTCACAGGAAGAGGTCAGCAGCAGCTGGTAGCCGTTCATTGAAGAAGGCTCTCCACGTGTCTTATGTGTTTCTTGTGTGTTCTCAGGTCTTCCTTTCTGAGTGGAAGGAAAAGAAAGTGGTCCTTTCACAGCTCACAAACTCAGAGCTGAAGGAGGACTTTCTCCATGGACTGAAGATGCTGAAAGCCCTTCAGAGCAAGCATGTTGTCCGGCTGCTGGGCTACTGTGAGCAGCAGTTCACAATCCTCACCGAGTACCATCCTCTTGGTTCACTGAGAGGCCTGAATGAAACTCTCCACATTCCCAAGTACAAGGGCATGAACACCTGGCATCGCAGGCTGATGCTTGCTATAGACTACGTGAGTGTCATTCGGTACCTGCACAGCAGCCCCCTGGGCACCTTAGTGATGTGTGACTCGAACGACCTGGACAAGGTTCTCTCCCAGTATCTCCTGACAAGTGACTTTCACGTTCTGGTGAATGATTTGGACGCTTTGCCTCTTGTGAACAGGAGTGCTGGCAGGCTGGTGAAGTGTGGTCACAGGGAGCTCCGGGGTGAGTTTGTAGCTCCTGAGCAGCGTTGGCCCTATGGAGAAGATGTGCCATTCGAAGATGACCTCATGCCTCCCTATGATGAGAAAACAGACATCTGGAAAATCCCAGATGTCTCTAATTTTTTCTTGGGCCATGTTGAAGGAAGTGACATTGTACGACTGCATCTGTTTGACATCCATGCAGCGTGTAAGAAGAAGGACCCGGCAGAACGGCCCTCTGCCCAAGAGGTCTTAGACACCTACAGGAAAGTTTTAACTCTGCTTATTCGGGAGGCAGCCATGCCTGGTACTAGAGAAATGTTATAGTGAATCACGAGGCAAACAACGTACTGATGTTTTAAGTTGATGTCCTTCCTATTTATGTAGCTTGCCTGATGGACAAAATCTCTGTCCCCAAAACTGAGAAGAAAAGAACAGCTGAACTTGTACCTCTTGATTAAAAGAAAAAAAATCCCCCCAATCCAAGAGCTGTGCACGCTTTCCATTGGCATGTTCAGTCTACCATTGGAAGACGAGAAGGGAGAGAAAGGAAGTTGTGTGGGTGCAGGGGAAATTTGTTCCTTAAGAAATGATCAATTTTCTTTTGCAACATTTACACAAAAAATATCTTAAAAATTAGAGAGAAACAGATAAAAAATATTGGTCTACCTTAACTTGGTGGAGACTGGAGAGCAGAGACCATGGCATGCCCCCCACAAGCTTTGTGCTGATTGCTGTGGCTTTGACCTATGTTGTATCCACAAAGCCCTCACCTACTTTTACACGTAGTAAAAGCAGTGGTCACTCAGAAAGGAGTACCCCATTTCACTTCAGGTTTTGGTGAGCCCCAGTGCCAGAGCTGCAGGGGCAGTCTCTCCCTGCTGGCTGGGGCACAGGTTGTTTTTGGAGCCATATGGCCATTGCTCTGTGGGCCCTGTACCTCACACCAGCAAGTGTGTGGCCACTTTTGGAAGCAAGAAAATAATGCAGATTCTGAAGAGTCTGCTTACAGACACAGGTTGTTGGTTTTCAAGCCTTTGTCCTGTGGTATTCCCAGATGGGCTCTTTAGAGCCATTCTTTAGAAATGAAGCTGTCAAATGCAAGTCTCTCGCTCCTCTGTAATCCACAGGAGTGCTGAACACTTTGGAAGAGAGCTGATGCACGCTCTTTTTTTCATTCACTTATCCTGGCTTAGTGTCTTCATGATTTGATGGCAAGGAGGATAACAAGGAACTGAAATAGAATGCGACTTCCACAGCAGTGAGCATTAAACATAAGCTTTGGAAAAGAAAATTCCTGTATTCAGAGCATACAACTCTATTGGGCCTGAATTCAAAGTCCACTAAGCATAGAGGAAGGCCACTAAAAAGTAGCCTTGTTTGGTGTGTTAGGAAAAAGCTCAAGGTAACCTACATGGATGTAACAGCCTGGTACCAACAGCTAGAGAGGAAGAACAATGATGCCTTAATCCAGCAGTGGGCTGTGTCTGGTGGGACTGGGATCCAGGATGTAGTTCTCTTGGTGAAAAAACAGGAATAATATGAATGAGAAACATGGAGTCCACCGTTGTCCACCTGAGGACTTTCTGTGCTGTGGACTACATCTTTGAAAGATCTAAGAGACAACTTCCATGTTGTGACCTGAGAGGTGATTTGTAAGCAGAGAAGTACACTGTCCTTTTTGCTCCTTTTTGAAGAGTTTGGTTCTGTTCTTGTCTGTGCTGCTATTCCTCTTCACATAAACCAGCCATGTTCTGACTGCATTGAGATCATGCAGTCATTTCATAATGTATAACATTCAAATCCTGGTATCAGAATTTTATTATAAATGGGAAAAATTTCCTGCAAATTAGTAAATTCATTCCTGATATCATACAATGCCACCAGGAGCCCTTTAAAAGCTGCTGATTATACCTTTCCTTTCCACCTGGGCAATCTGTTTTCTTAAATTAGACTTTTGCTATTTTTCACTTATCCATTACTTCCTTGCAGCTTTCCTACACAGATTGTCAGGAGACAAAGCTCAGAAATCAAGTTCTTCAAAAGAGAGCAATGATTGTGGATGCTTTGGGTTTGTTTTGGACTTTGACTCAAAACACCTAAAAGAAGCATGGGGAAAAGAAATGCTCTGTTTTAAATGCATCATCCAGCCCATGAACTCTTGACTTGTTATTATTAGGGTGAGAGTTCTACAGTTCCAGTATGAATACAGGATGTGCAGCAGTTGGAAAAGTCTATTGTTACAGCTCCTTGAAGCCAGGGATAAGGCTTTAAAGGGCCAAGAGTCAAATCTTCTGCATGTTTCCCCATGATAATTTGTTACCTTTTGTTAGCCATCATGTACACTTGAAAGGGAAATCATCATCTGATGGCTGTAAATAACCATTCTGTGAAGAGTTTTTAAGAGTGTAGCAAGGACAGACAAGAACCTGACAAGCATCTTGTGCTGGTCTCTCTTGGTTAAGACAAGCTTCTGCTGGGATTCTTGCCCTGTTGTGTACTGTTGAATCTTGTAAACAACCATAATAATTTCACAGAGGGAAAAAATGTGGGAAAATTCTGGTTTGGAATAATTATCTTGCCATGGAGATGATTCCCTGTTTCTGGATGAAATAGTTACAAATTTTTTTAAGAAAAGGTGTCTCCCTAAACATTCACCTGGAGCAGTGGCCTCTCCATGTCTCTTTCCCATTCCCTCTCCTTCAGCTTTTGTGTTGTCCAGCATTGTATTTCAGCAGGAATAAATCAGATTTGTTCTGAATACAACATTATGGAGCTGCAGTTTCTTTTTTGGGATGTTGTTTCTGTCTGTGAGGAAACACTAGATGGCAGCATGAAGGTCAGTTTAGAGTTAGTTATTAGCAGCTGCCTCTGAAGCCCAGACATAGGAAGAATCTGGCCTTGCAGCCAGTATTTTCCTGGCAAACTTCCCTTAAAGATAAACTCCTTAAAGATCTCATTTTGTTTGCCTTAGTGAGTCTGAAGGAACAAGACAGATAGATACAGAGGCTGACCTCTTAACCACACATGCCACCTCCCCTTTAACTTGCTCGTGGTCTTTGTGTACTTCACTGTCCGTTTCTATCTCAACCTGGTGAGACCAAAACCAAGTTTGCGTGTCACCTCCTTCCAGTCTTTCTGTAAAATCAGACATTTGTACACTATGCATCTTTCTATTCTTCCCTGCTAGCTCCTTCTGCAGTTTCAAGATTGCATGAATCCAGTCCTTCCCACATTTCCAGCTTCTTTTCCCTTAAAGGGAAAAGGCAAGGCATCACAGAGAGGGGAAAAAGAGGCAGGACAGCCCTACCTGCAGTATTCTCCCCTCTTTCCAATCCTATTTTCTGGGCATTTCAGTCTTTACCATCCGTCACAGCCTTTGATAAACATTCAAGGACTTTGCTGCCTCAGTACAAGCAGCTCTTGTCTGTCTAGTGGAAAACATCAAAAGATGAAGGGCAGGAAGAGGCCTGTTCACAGCTGGGAGCCTGCAAGTCCCCATCCAGCTCTAGACCAGTGGCCATGACCTCCCCTGCTAAGGCCATGGCCACAGTTCTGCCCTAACCTCAACAACAGCTGCTGGTTCTTATCTCAAGCTCAGATCAAGTGCCCCACATTCCCTGTCCTTTCCCACAAAAAGATGCTTCTCTGGGGATGGTCATTGCCATGTTTCTTATCGTATTACTGTTCTTCCATCCCAAAAAGCCAGTAAAATAAACTGCACAAAGATGCAGGTCACACAAGGAGAAATACAGTGACTGATGCTTATCTCCTTCAGAAAACTTCAGAGGAGTTCCCCAAACCACCCTAGGTAGGCAGAAATGATCCCAGTCATTCCAGGGCTTTTGTTTGCTGTCATTATCAAGATGAAGGCCCTGGGTCTGGCCCCTTTCCAAGGGTCAGGGCAACCCTTTTGCTGAGGTTAGTGTAACCACCTTACCCTTCTCTTTTGGGCAATGCCTCCTCTGCCATCCCTGCAGCAGTCCCACAGCATATGTCACCCACCGCCATCCACCCAGCTGCTAGACAAAGAATCAAAGCAGAAGCCCTCTCCCAGACTGAAGAAATAGCACCTGGCTCCCAGACTGAACTCTGCTGGGACACTGCTGTGCTAGCAGTGGAGGAGAGCAGGACACTGAGGGCATGCTAGCTGAGCCTGCTGACAGTCTGGCTGCAGGTGTCAGCTGTGTCAGGGGCCCCTACTGGTATGGTGCACTCTATCCTTGGCCCAATGCTGCTGCCATAACAAATTCCCAGTGAATTTCCCTCTAAAGTTTAGTTTTTACCTGGCAGGTTTGCACGGCAGGCTATAGAATGGAAACCGCCTCAGAGGTCTCTGTCTCAGAGCAGAGTCCCAGATTCAGTTCAAACCCACTGCTCCTTTCATTTTCTCCTCAGAGCCATCCAAAGAATAGCACTGTCAAGGTTATGCTGTTTTCCTTTCCAAACTGGCTGCTGGCTGCATGCTTCTGGGGGTTCAAGTCTGATGGAGCATTTCCCACTCTGTGAAATGGATTTCAGAATCCAGCCTGAAAGCATTCCTATAACACTAAATCCTCTAGGGGTGAGCAGCCTACATGGCAACTCGTTTGTATGTTTGACACCATCAGACGTGAAAAGTAGTGCATGAATGTCTGCACCAGCTGTTGTGTAGGTCTGGGTAAATATGGAGGAAATAAAATGGACACAATGTATTTAATTGAATATTTGATTTTTTTTTTTTTCTTTTTGAAGGATCCTTTGAAAAATCTATGTTACTCTGTATTTAATAGAGTGGTAACTTTTAAATGTATCAGATGTTGAGAACGCCGCACAAAGTTTTTGAAATTCTGTCACAAGCTCTAAAATAATATTTTCCTTTCCACATAACAAAACATCAGATCATTATCTTTGTGAAACAGAGGCAGTGTTGTTTGCCAGATATAATTTGTGAGCTATTTGGCAGAATATGCAACTGTAAACCGATTCTATCATTATGACTGTAACGTCTTACCAACAGTCAAGAGACCCTGGGAACAAGAAAAAAGTGGTTCTCAAGTTCTTCTAGCGTGATATAATGTGTATATTTGTAGAGTCCAACCAAATAAATTATATGCTACATGGTACTTTTAAAAAAGGAAAAGGATTTTGTGGTTTTATTTTAATTGAGGCACTGTATACTTGAGATGCCCACATGATTTCCAATAATTGTCAGTCTCTGTTCAGAAGTCTATAATCCAGTATTTATCAGGATTAAATGGTGAATATATTTACATTACAATGATATTTGTGTATCAGCATTTTTTGATGCTGTTTAGCTCTGGGTAACTCAAAATGCATTAAAAATATGTACTAATATATAGACACACATACACATTCTTTGGCCATAATTTTTAAAAGACCAAGCTTACTGTTCCAGCATTCACAATCTGGATATGCAGTAACCAGATTTTCAAAACTGATAACATTCAGTAGCTCTCAGTCACATTTCTAGTAGTTGCTGGATGCTAATGACTTTTGGAAAGTGAATTCTTTCCCTGTAGAGCTGGAAGACCCTTTTCAGCAATTCTCTTGATAAATCTATGAGACTGAAGTGAGTACTTTTATCAAGTACGCTCTGGATTTCTTTGTGGAATGAACAAAGTCTCTGTGAAAGCTGGGATTTTTAAGTGTTTTTCTCCCTAAGAGCTCATTTCTGGTATGGAGGGAGAGTGGGCTGTTGTGTCTAACTCAAACTAAAACCCCCCAAGCTTATTTGCCTGTAATGTTGAAAATCTAGCCACTAAGCTTGGGTCTCCATGAACTATGTTTAGCTTATGCCAGTGCCATATATTATTATTACATATGATTAGTTTGGTGCCTACGGGCTTTGGTCATGGGCCAGGATCCTATAGGTCAGATGCTATAAAGGCACAGCACAAAATGACAGTCCTTTCCCTACATGCAGATTTTGTACAAGAAAATATAAAACAACTTCTGTCCTCGTGCATGAACAGCATGCACAAGTATTGGTCATCCCATCCTACCTCATCCAAGCCACAAATAAATATGCTACCTAACCTACATGGACAGGTAACACAATTTCTGATACAAAATTGCAACTGTGCTCTTCTGAACATGCTTTAGGAACCCAAGATTGAAACAAAAGCCCAAGCTCTAAAAGGAAATTACTGTGTATCAGACAAGCTAACCTGTAGGCTTAGGAGTCAGCCAGCTTTGCTGTTTGGGCCAGATTCTTCAAGGAAGTCATGCAGAAGACCTGCACCCCCAGAACTCCTATTTCTAGAGTCAGACAGGGGGAAGGTCACCCTTTTCCTCAGGTTTGCAAGGCTGTCACACTCAGGGCAGCACCAGCTGCTGTGCTCCTCAATCTAACTGTGTCCTATCCACTGATTCACATTACTGAATTCAGAGGAAGCAGAAAATCTGTCTCTGCCTGCCTTGTAGGTTGGGGGCAGGTGGGAAATCAAAGTCTGAAACCAAGCATTTCATTAAATCAAATGAACAGGGCAATGCTGAGTGAGGCAATCTGTTTCTGTGTGCTGGAGGCTGCAGAGAAAATGCCAGGACCGGAGCTCATGCTTTGTGGATGCAGGCCTTGGCTTCCTCTGCATGGGAGGCTGCAGGCAGAGTCCTGGGACGTCCCAGTTCCTTCCTGGCTTGTCCAGAGCGAGCTGCAGGGTTAATACAAAAAGTGCCTTTAGTTATAGCTTAAATACAGCTTCTCTCCTCCCCATCTGAGAGAGCCTGATCTCAGCTGAGGTCTAGAGACAGTAATGCAATATAAAGAGCACCAAAGTTACTTACATTTGTTCTTCCCACTTTTCTTCAAAGATGTGTGATGCTTTCTTGTCAGGCTTGTTAGCAGGAAAGTTCAACATAATAAAAAAGCAAACAAAAAGCCTCAACTTCACAAGAAACTGCTTAAAATCCCTCTGAAACCATGCTTAATTAAATGTCTTTTGTCGTGTTGCATAAGTGACTTTTTTTTTAAATCTCTCTTAGTGGTTTCCACAGTTCTGTGCATGGGTGCCATCCCAATTTAATGACCTAGAATTATGTATAATTGTTATTCTATCCTTCTTTCCCACACCATGTGGGGCAAGGAACTTTTCTCATTACACCAGTGCCTTAGGTTGGTTTTTTTTAATTTTTTTTTTTATATTGTCATTTTCACTCATATTCTTTTATGTTCTGATCTAAGGCCTCTTAAAATGAATCTGTTCCATACCATGGAAAGAGAAAGACTTGGAACATCTCACAGTGAGAACACAGCTCCCCAAAGGATAGAGTTTCCTCAGGCTGATTAGACATCTGCAAAGCAAGTGCCATCCAAATGAGGTGTCTAGACTCCTTGCACTCCGTAAGGGATCAGAGCATCTCCCGGGCACAGGAGGCATGATTCCGAATGTTTGACACAGGTTAGATAAATCACACCCTGAAAATACTTAGGGTTTTCTACCTTTATTGTCTTATAAAGGGTGAAGATGGATAACCATAACACAAGCATATACCCCAAATACCTGCTGAGCAGAGGGACATGGACCATGTCATTGATCAATTGTAACAGTTCTAGTACCTGAAGGAAGCTATGGTAAAAGGAAGTATCAGGGGCAGAGGTGGACAGAAAGAAGCAGAAGGCCCTAGGGAAAAGCACACCTAACCTCTCATGTAGCTCAAATATTCCACATCAGGCATTAGAGGAAAAGTTTGTGTGCGTGTGAGTGTTAGAACAGCCCAGTTCGCAGTTTACTCAGTAAGCAGTTCAGAAAACTTTTCAAGGTTCTGAGCTGAAACACTTGCTCTGCCAAAGCATAATCCTAGAATTGTGCTTTTTGGCAACAGCAGCATATGGACCATCAATTAAACTATGTTATTGCAGCACCTGAATATCCAGCAACTCCCATTTTGGTACCAAAAAAGAAAAAAAAAAGGCGCTAAGTCTTTCAGAAAGTGCTCTTTCAATTTTGACAAATTTAAACTGTCACATTTAGTTCCTATGTGAAAAGCGAGAGCTCACGACAATCTGAACCTATTATTTTTTTTTGACACCACGCGCTGCAGAGCTGCATTCCACATAATTCCACTGCTGCTGCACAAGCACCAGCCCAACCCAATGACTCCTCGCCTGCCAGGCTCCTAGGGCTGCTGAATCCAGACTTCTCCTGGCCCCACACCCAGCTGTGCCCTTCCCTTGGACGCTGGCACAGCAAAACCAAAGGATTTGTTGTATCTCCAGTGCCCCTGGGAGAGCCGTGGTGCCCTCTGCACGTCCTCTCCCCAAGGGTCTGGTAGCTGGAGATGTGGGATGAAAGAAAAGAATAAAAGTGGGTAAAGGCACCCCAGGGCCTCAGGGACAGTCCAGAAAAATTGGATTTGCTACCCAGTGTGTAACAAGCCAGTAATTACACACCTGGAAGAGACATTGCTCATTCTCTCTACAGCTCCCTGAGAGCAGCTTGTAACCAGGTGAGGCTCGGCCTCTTCTCCATGACAAGTGACAGGACGTGGTCTTAACTCGCGCAGCATAGGTTTAGGTTGGACATTAGGAGGAATTTCTTCACAGAAAGGGTGATTTGCCACCGGAACGGGCTGCCCAGGGGGGCGGTGGAGTCCGCGTCCCCGAGGTGTTTAAGGAGAGGCTGCGTGTGGCACCCGGTGCCAGTCCGGTTGACAAGGTGGTGTTCGGTCACAGGCTGCACTCGATGGTCTCAGAGCTCTTTTCCAACCGCACTGATTCCGATTCTATGATTTATTTCAGAGTTGCACAAGCCTAGGCGCTGGCTGGCAGCGGCATTCATGTTCCCCGGCACGGTTTATTGTCAGCACTAGTTAGGACTCCCGGCGCCCCTCGGAGCCCCCCCGCCATGGCGCCCGGCACCGCCCTGACGTCACTTCCCGGGCCGCGGGGCCGCCCCTGCCGGCCGCGCTCCCCATGGCGGCGGCGGTGGCGGCGGCTGGCGGGGCGGGCGGCGGCGGCGGCGCCTCGGCGGCGCTGGGCGACGGCGGCGCCATCGACTACTCGGTGCACGAGGCGTGGAACGAGGCCACCAACGTGTACCTGCTGGTGGTGCTGGCCAGCCTCGCCCTGCTCGTCTACGCGCGGCGGTGAGAGGGGGGCGGGGCGGGGCGGGGCGGGGGCTCCCGCGGGGCCCTCACGCCGGGGGGCGACCGCTCTCACCGGCGTGCCCCCTCCGCTCGCAGGAACAAGAGGAGGATCATGCGCATCTTCACCCTGCCCCCGGCCGCCGAGACGCCGCCCGAGCCCAACTTCTACGACAGCATGAAGAAGATCCGCCTGCGGCAGCAGCTGGAGATGTACTCCATCGGTAAGTCGGAGGGAAACGGGGATCCCCCGGGCCTGCGGGCTGCTGGGGGCCGTTCCTGAAGGGGCGGCCTGGCGCCTTGCGCGGCGGGAACGCCCCCGGTGCTGTGGCACCCCCTGAGGAGCGGGGGCTCGGCAGCTGCGGGGCCGCAGGACTGCTGCGGGAGGAAGTGCGCAGCGAGGGAGCGGCCGTGCAATTATCCTAAAGCAAGTGCCAAAATGAACCCCATGTTACGCGTTGAAAGAGCTAGGAAGGTCTGGATGTTGTGAAAACGTGGACGGATTTGTGAAAGTTGAGAGGACTGTGGAATCACGATAAGACAGCCACATAAATTGAAAATAGATTAGAATTTTACTGTACCAGCAAGTGTTGCTGCTCCAATCTCAATGCTGAGGGTCAGGATGGAGGCAGGAAAGAGCCCCATGTCTGTGATATTCCAGTGGTCCTATTCAGAGAAACACAACCTTGCTTCACATCTGCCCTACATGCATGCCTAGAGGAAATACAGAAAAAAAAAAACCCTTAGTGATCTGAAACCACTTTTAAATGCAAAGACTTTATGTAAGGATTCTTACGCTAGGCCATTGCATTCTGTAGGAACAAAATTGGATGTTCTTCCTAGAGTGGAATGCCTGCTGGCATTTGCTGATGGTGTTTGTACCACTGCACACAACTCTTTGATCTCCCTTTGCCTTGCTAACCAGAGTAGTTTTGAAGTCAATGTACTTGTTAGCTTGTGGCTTATATATTGTGGAGGAGATGAGAAATGTGGACATCAGCCTTGTGACTGTTGAGCCATTCAGGTCATCGGTAATAAAACTTCTGAAGCGTAACCTTTAATCTTGATTATTTTTATTTTAATAAAAGGACCTGAACGGAATAATAGTTCTCTGCCATTGATTCACTGACATTTTGTTATGACTCTGCTGTTCAGCATATATACGGCCATACACTAATGGTGAAGTTCTACATGGTGACTGAAACTTCCCCTTGTGAGGCTGAAATTAAGTTCTCTGATGCTTCATCTGTTTCTTGATTGTTGTCATAGTTACATTAATATATATAAACATGTATGTGTACATATATACATGTATGTAATAAATAATATAGTGATAGCAATAATAATATAAAATAAATTGTATAATCGGTGTTGATTGGTGTTTCTTTTTTTCAGCAAGGAAGTATGAACAGCAGCAGCAGCAGCCACCAAAACAGACTGAAAGCGTACAGCTCTCAGTGGAATGAAGCCCACAGTTCTGTAGGAACTCAGGACATACATCCAGTGCTGATTTTAAGAGTCAATGTGGAGCTATTTTCAGTGCTTTTTAATTGACACACAGCTGAAGGCAAGGGGGAAACGGAGGGGACTGTCCCTAAAAGTTTGTTCTTAGCAGCTTTTCTCTGAGCCCTCGTGAGGTAAAGCAAGTGCCCGCTGGAACATTCAGCATGAAAGTACCCAGCACAGGGCAAACCTGCTCAGAGGAACCTGAGGGTAGGGAAGTGCAGTCTTAGCAATGTCTGAAATTATTTCTCTCTGCTAGCACCTTGGAAATCAGCTCCTACCTTCTCTGGCAACAGCACCCTGGAGAAAGCGAGGCAGTACCTGTCTGCCTGGAAAGCCTTGTGTTCCTTGATGATGAGTTGTTGAATTTGCTGAATACAGTCACTAAGTGTGAATGAAGGCACTGTGGCTGTACTGCCTGGTGAAGGTGAAGCTTTGAGAGCCCAGAGTGTCACTGGTGGTAGTGCAGAAAATTCTGCTCTCTGTTTATCTGGAGTTGTGTATGCAATACTGTGAACCTTTCCTGGCGAAACTTTGAGAAGTACACAGTGAACTGCATGTCTAGAAGACACTTAAAGCCACTACTCTAATGTTAATAGCAAAGGTGGTTAGCTCAATTTAGCCAAATTACTGTAAAGAATGGGTCTGTCTGTAAAAATCGATATAAGCAGGTCGTAGCTTGTCCAGGAGAGACTTCACACTGCAGTTACTTTTTCTTTCTAGGTAAATCTCAAAATCAGTTAATTGAAAGGATTCTGCAGAAATGACTTTTTAATAAAAGCATCTAATCATGAAAACTATTTGAAGACGTATCATGCTGTAATTCCTAAGGTTACACAACTTGAGTTGGCCGAGTGATGAACAACCAGCACAGTGCTGGGAGTTTATGTCCAGAGGTTTTCACCTGTTCTGCACTGAAATCTATTAAGTCTTGGAGCAGTGGTGAGCACCACTGCGGTTACATTTGGATATTAAGAAACTTGGCTTTGAGCACCAAATGTTACTATATTGAAATGATCTGTACCTCAGTGTCTGTAGGGACTGTAAATCGTGACCTGGGCCGAACTGACAGTGGCAGAAGGCTCCGTGGGTTTGCCCCATGGAAAGGCTCCTTTGGGTGAAGGGTGGCCCCCTGTGACAGCTTCCACGCTGTAAGGAACCGTGGAAACCAGCGGGCTCACTCCGCGGGGCCGAGGGCAGGGCGCGGAGCCCCGGTGCCGCCGGTGCCGAGTCCTTCCCACGTTACTCTGCCCGTGTGATGACCCCGCTCGGCAGCGCGTCCCCGTCACTCGCGGGGTTTACGAGGCATTGAGATCCACGCCCGGCAGAGCTCCCCAGGCGCGGGGAAACCCCCGGACCGCATCCCCCTCCACCTCCCGGAAACGGCGCCGTTTCCCCTTCGCCCGACCTCACTTCCTCCCGCGCTTCCGTCTCCGGGACGCGCCGGCTCCCGCTGCTGCTGCCGCCGCCGCCGCTGCTGGCCGGAGGCCGGAGGCGCCCGCCGGGCGGTGAGTGGGGCCGCGCCGCCCGAGCCCCGCCGCCCCCCGCGCCCCGTCCGCGCCGAGGGGAGGGGATGGGGCACCTCGCCGGGGGCCGTGGCGAGGCGGGAAGGGGCCGCCCGAGGAGAAAGCACGGTCGGGGGCGGGGAAGGGGTGTCCGGGTCCGGCTCCATTCCCGCGGGAGGGCTTCGTGCCGCCGCCGGGCCGACACGGCCGTCCTCCGCGGGAGCGCTCCGCTCCGTCCTCCGCGGGAGCGCTCCCCGCGTGTCCCGTGCCCGGGTTCGTCCCGCGGGCGCCGCAGCGGGGGCTCGTCCCGGCACGGGGGCTCGTGGCTGTCCGGGCAGCTGAGCCCTCCCTTCTTCCCACCGGCCCTGCCCACCCGGGCGGGCGGGCAGGGAGCGGAGCCTTTCCAATGGCGCATCTCCGCCGGCGCCGCTGCCGCCCGGTGCGGCTCCGCTCGCTTCATTGTAGCAGCGTGGCGGAGAATGAGCCCGCGCCCTGCCGCTCACCCAGCACAGCCGTCTTTCGGGCTGCAGACAATCATTTCACGGTTTGCCTCTCAGCTCAGCTGAAAGCACCGTGAAGGGCTTAGAAATCTGGAGCGGCTTCGTTTGTATTCACGGACCTAGGGCGGTGGCAGGAGCATCTCAAATTTACTTTTTCTGTCCAGAACAAAAAGCTTTTAAGGAGAAGCAGCAAAAGCAAAAGGTATTCTAGGGCCCGTGCCTTTTGTATGTGCTAGGGTGTTCGAAGTATGCTGCTTGAGCCATGAGAGAAGGAGAGGTCGTGATTTGTTTTCCTGGCAAGTGCAGCCACGGGAGTTCTGTCCCAGTGAAACTATACTCTCTTCTGCAGGGGGGTTTATGTTTTCAGCTGTACAGTACAAGCATGTGTTAGGACAGAAGGTGTAGTCAGCTTTTGAAATTTTACCTCAAATATCTGCACTGGTTTTTACCTGTTAATTCATGATTCTAAAGCAAAGAATAGAAGGCGGATAAGGTAGAGAGACAATAGAATTTTTTTTTTTTGCATCCATTTTTAGTAGTCAGGCTTATAGGCATGCACGGGAGCAAATTCTCAAACTCTCATGGAACTTAGTTAATGCAGAACTTTGGATGTGTTGGATGGGGAAAGTTTATGACCTAACAAAAACTGGGCCAAAGTTATCTTCAGTTACATTTATTTTTGAGAATGCTGTTCAGAGGGAACTGTTTCTAGCTTACCCAATACTGTTGAAAAAGCTATTATGATGTGTAGATTTAGTGGTGTCTGATCACATGAAGCATGTGAGGGAAGGCTTTCTAAGAGTTAAAACTTTACCTCTGTAAAGATACTGCAGAAAGTCATTCACAAGTTGCTCTCAATTATAACTCCAAAGTTTTTGAGAATCTGACCGCTCTGTTGTTTCCATGTGAGCTGCTGAATGTCAGATCTTTGTAAACGCAGTCTTCAGATGGCATTACAACCATGCCTCTATAATCTTATGTGAAAACTATAATCTTTGTTAAGTGGTGGAAAAGTCATCTCTCTCCTGTAACCCAGAATGTGGCTGGCTAGGTTTTTTACTCAGCACTGTGCAGAAGATCAAAGGTTTTTTGATAGAGCTGTATAAATTCTGTAACAAGGCTCAAGAGGTTCTTAAATATTAAAGCTATGAGTATGTCTGTGTTTAAAGAAGACATTGTAAACTCTGAGGGCCTTGTAGTGAAAATATCCTGCCCTGTGCCACGAGCATTTTGAGTTTCAGTCCAGTGTTACTTGCCCGGATAGTGTGAACTGGTATGTGCAAGCCGAGCCCAGATGAGAACGTGTCCTGCAGCAGCTGCCATGATGCCTTATAGCCAGCCACAGGATTTAGGAATTTCAGCAGAGTGATGCTCAAGCGGTCCTAAACTTGCTCTCAAACTTTCCGTCCAAAACTGCCTGACCCATTGAGAGGACCCGTAGAGGAAGCCTTTGCTGTACCACTTGTACTGATGATGCTGGTAGAAGCTCTGAGAATGGGGAGAAGATCCCAGTGCTTTTGTCTGAGGACAGTTTGCAGGGAAGCTTCTTCAGTGCAATGCACAATTATTAATTGTGAATATTCTAACCAGTGATGAATCTTTCTGTAATTTATGTTTTGCATATATGATTAAGCAGCATTGGCCAAAAGCCTGGTGACAGCACAGGGCTCTGGAATGTTTCCCTGTTGCCTGGGCAGTTTATTCATGTTAGCTTACTTCCGTGAGCTTTAATCGCTCCTTTTAAAGTCCTCCTGAACTCAGGAGTGCCAATGCTATTGAGCAAGCTGAAATTATACACGCTGCAGGAAGAAAGGTGGGGATGTTGCAACTTAACATCTCTTTTGGAGGAATTGAAAAGATTTTGTCCCAGCCCTAATTTCTGCACTAAAGAAATTGAAAATTGTCATTGCATGCCTTCTTCAACAGGGAAGCAGCATGCTGTTAGAAAATGTGTTATTAAATCCATGATGTCTTTGGCCTGCTATGCCTAAAGAGAAACAGCAATTGGAGGAGGCTTGCTGACAAAGTGGAGTCTTCAGTCATGGTTGCTTATGCTCCAGATCAGAGGTAGTGATCAAAAGGCGTTCCCTTTCCCCTCCAAACCCTTAAACTGTGTTTTAGTCATGGTGAGGAACCTGGGTGTTGTTTATTAACGTAGTCACGCAAACAAAAGGCAGCACTCGGTCTTGTCCTTGAGACAGAGGTGCTGCTGAAGAGCAGAAGGTTTCAGTGCCTCAGGCCCTCGAGAATGGAGGTAAGATTCTTCACTTTGCAGCCCCATGTCTGTTGTGGCATAAGAGTTAAGGGCTCTGATGCAGTTTTTTGTAGTCTAACAAGCTCCACCAGAAGCTGGCATCGCCTGGGTGGAGGGGCCTCCCTGCTGGCTGGGGAGAGATACAGAGGATGACCAGAGGCACTGACTGCTGGCAGACCAGCCCAGAGCCAGCGCAAATGTCTCATGAGAAATCTGACATCAGGGAGTGGAAACCGGTGCTGCTTCTTCTGTAACAGAAGGCAAGAAGAGAGGGAAAAAAAAAAGACACAACTACTGTTAGGAGCAAAAGGCTTATGATTTTTTTAGGCAGAAAAATCCTGCCTTAATTATTTTTTTCCTCAAGTTTCTGATAAAAAATGGCTGATAAAACTTTGCAGTGCTCAGCTGTCTTTGTGAAATCTGTGTTTGCATTGAAAAGATTAAGAACCTTTTTAAGAATGAAGGTGCTTTGCCTTATTTTTGAAAGGCATGTCTAAGCTTTGGGTGTTACTTTAATAAAAATAATTCCTGATCTTTTTATGGAATATCTAAACTCTGGGCGTTACTTTAATAAAAATAACTTCAAACTCCAAGATTAACAGAGTTGCTAAAAGGAATTAGTTCTCAATATGAAAAACAATAAACTAACTTTGGAATTTCTGAACCAAGCCCTCAAAGGCAATTTGTGGCAAAACTCCAGGAAAAAAAAAAAATCTCATTTTTATAAAATAGCTGTATATCTTCTTTCTCAATTACATCTAGGCACTGCTTTGAAAAGTGATTCTCTCCTTGCAGATGCCGAGAAATGAGGTGTTTTAAAAGAATTTGGTTTAATTTTAATCTAGCAATAAAATGAATTAATCTTGACAAGGGGCTGTTCAAATTTGGTGTTGACTGAAACTGCAGTCCAAGAAAATACTTTACATTTGCGTATCTGAAGAAGAACTTAGATCCCGAGTCTGTGAAGGAGTAGTCCCTTCAGTTTCTGCCAGGCTGTCAGACTTGCTGGAGCTGGTTTTGGACATCCATGATGTATAAAATGCACATGTGGATCTATAGCTGGGAAAGACCATGGTTTTGATAATAGCAACATTTGTCATTTTCGTAATGGAGTAGAACAGGTATTTTGAAAAGACTCAGCCAACAGGAGGGCTGTATTACTTTCCAAAATATCCTCTGGATCATCTTGGAAACATGGTTTGTAATGTGCTCTTGACTGGCAGCGAAGGGTGCGAGGCGTGAATTCCTGAGCAGGGAAGATGTATGTGGGTTGTGCAATGGGAGACTCCATGTGATGTCGTTATTTATGGCACTTCTCTCAGATGTCTTTCTGGGTCTCAAACAGCTGCTGTGAACTTTACCCAGCACTGAGCACTGGGTATGTTTGAGTGACTATTTTGCTGTTGCTTGGATCATGGTGATAAGCAGTACAGAGCCAGGTTCTGTAACTGGTTGAAAGACCAGAGCAGAACTTGTACTGGTTGATGAAAACCTTGCAGAGGGGAAAAAAATAAGATTATCATCTTCCATAGCTTTGGTTGGTGGACATCAGGGAGTGGTAGTTGGAGGAGCCCATTTCTTTCTGCTGTGATAGGGAAGGAAGGGTGGACTGACAGAAGAGGAAGAGTTGCTTTTTCTTTTAGGGGAAAGGTCGGAAGGATAGAGGCAAAGGTGCAGTTTTTTCACTCTTACCTCTTTTCTTCATGACTGTTTTGTTAAATGCAGCAACCATTGTTTGCAATAACTTTTCCTCGCTTTAGTAAAGAGCTGTGGGTTGTCATGGGTTTTGATACGTGGCAGTGCTGTTGTTAAACAGATCCAAATCTACAGTCAGATAAGGCTCGGAATAATTGATGTTTTTAGCTCAGCTAAATAACTGAGCTCACATGATCTGTAAGTGGCCAGCAGGTTTTTTCTTAGGCAGAGTATGTACTGCTTGTATTGTACATTTATCTAAAGCTAATTTTATCACAACAGATTGAGAATTCTAGCAACCAAAAATACCTGAGTTGAGTCTGTTAAAAAAGCCTCCTTACCCAAAGTCTGCTTCTGTGTGTGACCACCAGAAAATACCACTTCTTTTTGACTTCATAGTCAGTAATGACCCCGAAGTGGTGAAAGCGTTGCACTCTGTGCCTCTGAGATTACTTTTGCCACTGCAGATGGGAGAATTGTTCTGTATCATTATTGTCTTCCCTTTCAACCTCAGCACATTCTGGAATGCCAAAGGCAAACCACTCACTGGCTGATCCGAGGTCCTGGCGGTACTGGTATGGCAGTGCTCTGAACCTTGTGGCTTGGACCACTCTTTCAGCATTGCCCAAGAGCTTTTTACATGTACCCAGCTCAGTATATTATCTTTACACATGTGAGACAGAGGAACAGGAAAGCATTTATGGCCTCTTGGAAAGAAAGTGTCAAGATCCTTGCTCTGAAACAGAGTTTCTAAGAGCTCTGTAACTATTAAACAGCACAGAGAGGTTCTTGAGAAATATGAGAAAGGACAATTTTACTGCCAGTATGAGACCTGTCACTTTATTGACTAATCAGTCTCTCATACTCAAATAGAGAAAAAAAATTGCATGTGTTTGGATTATTTAATGAGGTAACTGTTGACAAAGTGGGGCCTTTTACTCGTTCTGTTAGTGCTGTTTTGATCATTCAAGAACTTCAATTGTTTCTGAACCATAAGCTGGAACAAGCTTTTTCTCTCACCCTCTTGCTTGCCTGGAGGTTGTTCTGAAGAGAGATGAAATGGTGTAATTTTCATTTTGGTTGAGGCAAAGAAGTATTCTCTTACCATAACTCACCAGTTCCAAGCCCATAATCATAACATTTGTGGTAAAACAATGATGACTCTGTGGTATTTCTCACAGATGCTATAAAAACTCTGTCATCTTCTTGGGAGGCCATCTTCCCATGAGATACCAGCCTTTCTCTCACTCTT